AACACAGAAATAAATAACACAAAATAAATTGTAACTATGCGTCGATTCCGCGTGACACATCCGAACATGTTAGCTGAACAATAGTGTGGGGGCAGTGAGTAATCAAGAGCTGTGTGCCGCTCAAACAAAAGATGAATCAATGAGATTTGAAAATCGCATAACTCCGGGTTCGCGTAAGTCGAGGTATTACTGTAGTTTAAACATATCTTGCAACTGTCTAATATATGTTCTGTAAGAAAGTTCTACTTTGTAATGAACAAGGAACTACTTTTTTTTTCTTTTGCCTAAGTAGACTAATGAATGTCTATTCCCATTTTTATTTGGAACAGATTATTGATAGATACTGCTCAGAAAGTTGCCTAATAAAAGAATAAATATTGTTCTTATTTATTGCAAAGGAACTGTACAATACAAAGATTCGCAAAGAAATCATTTCGGCGTAAATTTCAAGCTGAAAGACTTAAGGCATTATAAAAAAAACAGTGTTTCAAATTTTAAGAAGGACTTGATATTTCATATGTTATATATTTGGTTCCATGAATTCTTTGAGAATGTGTGTAATATAATGACAACATTCATTGATAAGGTATTATTTCTATTTTAACAGTGTTTGGTTGAAGCATTTTCAACTCGGTAAGTCAACTTGACACAGATTTGTTAAATGAGTCTAAAATAAAACCTTTATGTTCAAAATGAAGATTTCACTAGCCAGGTGTTATTTCTGTTGATATTCAAACTGTGACAGAAAATCTTGAATTCATGTATATTGTATTTTCAGGGATTTTATAAAATTCCCTAGAATTTATATATACAATGGGTGATCGGTTAACGAACAGTTCGGACAGCGAACAAATCGGATAACAAACACTTTCACAAAAGAATTTTATGTTCAGATAAGAAACACTTCACAGAACAAATACAAAAAGAAGCAACATAAAATAGTGAATAGTGATTGGTTTTCCCTTGTCTCCAGATAACAATTCGAAAACTTTTTGATTGCGGGAGATGCTCAACCCGATAGTGATCAGATATTATTCCTCAAAACTTTGAAACTCTCCATTGTAATTCCAGCTTTTTGTTTATCTTTCTGACAAATAATTTTTTATAGTCTTTGCAAGACTCTTGGACACTCATTAAGTTTGGTGTCAGTTTTTATTTTCTAAAGGTGAGTTTAACTGTCCTATCAGATATTTGTTAATGGTTTAACACCAAAATTTCAAATTTCATTCAAGTCTCACATTTACATAATTTTTTGTGCACTAGTCTCAAATGTCTCAAATTTGAAGAATTCATTAAAAAGAAGGATATTGTCCACAACGAATTTTCAATTGTGATGAAACTGATTTATTTTGGAAGCGCATGCTGAACCGTACCTACATTACGAAAGACGAAAAAATATTCCTGGGCATAAACCTATAAAAGACCAAGTGACATTACTTTTGGGAGCTAATGCTAGTGGTAATATGAAGCTTATCCTGCTTCTTGTCTATCACTCTGAAAACCCTAGAGCAGTGGTTCCTAATTAGTTTTTCTTGCGTACCACTTCAAGAAAGAGCTCAAACTCGCGTACCCCTTATAGAAGAAATTCATATTAATCCATACTAATATTATAAATTCAAAGATAATGCTGTCTGTCACCTTTTCACGTTTAAACCGCTGAACAGGTTTTAATAAAATTTGGCACAGAGATAGCTTACATGTTGGAGATGGACATAGGCTACATTTTACTGCGAGAAAATATCTTACTCCCACGAGAAAATTCGATATAATGCGGGCGAAGTTGTGGATAGACAGCTAGTGATAGAATAAGATATTTTTTACATTTATTACCTTTAAAATACAATTGTAATAATAATGAAAATAACATAAGGTTATTTAATTTTAATGCGACAAATGTGCACGATTTTCTTTGCACAACTTTGTAAAATCTGGTTGCTTTCTGGTCAGCTTCAGTCTCGAGTCATCTTCGAGTCGAAGTTGGTGACAATGTTTAGTTATCGTGTTTGTCACAGCCAAAAATCCGCTCTCGCAGAGGTATGTTGTGCAAAATGGTAGTAAATATTTTATTTCCGCTTCGCTGACACGATGATAGTGATAATTGTACAATTAACAAAAAGTGTACAATTAACACAAATTGTGTTAATTGTACACTTTTTGTTTCTTGAATAAGAATTTCATTTAGGTATTGTCACATATGCATTTTTTTAATGAAATTTCGAGAATATTTTTAGTTATAAATAAATGAATTTGTGCATTTGACATCATGCTGTAAATTGCCGAATTTTTTATGGTCCCCCCATTATTTTTTTGATTGCTTCATCTCATGCATTTAAATTTTAAATCGACCGATTTTAGATTGCCGCGCGTACCCCTTCACGCAATTTCGCGTACCCCCAGGGGTACGCGTACCACTAATTGGGAACCACTGCCCTAGAGCATTAAAAAAAATTCTGTAATTAAAGAAAGACTGCCAGGGATGTGGAGATGGAATAAGCAAAATTCTTCAAAGCAAATGTAGACAAAATACTGCAATAAAACAAGTCATCAAAAACATTAAGTTAAACAACCATCGGATTACATCAGGCTACTTTTTTGCAATTACAGTAGAGCATCGATTATCTGACTCAATTGGGGACTGGGGTTGGTCGGATAACTGAAAAATATGAAAAAATACATTATTAGTATAGTATATTAGTATATCCCATGTGATTAGTATATTAGTATTTTGCTATTAACCTACTTCGCATTGAATTTTCATCGATGTTAAGCGTAACAAAAATTTAAAAAAAATAATAATCATTGCTATTGTATCATTAAAAATTAGAAAATTAAGCCTTGTTTAAATACTGGCTCCCTTTCATGGTTGAGCCAGTGTTGCCAGCTAAAACGCATAAAAATAATATTAAAGTAGCGAAGACATAGCCAAATATTGTAGAGCCACATCACTAGCGGACATTTGAATTTGGCAACTAGAACGCAGTCGGTTAACCGATGTGATGGTTGATTGGTGGGTTGGATAATCAATGCTTTACTGTATATTTAATTAATTACTAAATAATGTAAAAATTATATAATAATTATTTAGTAATTAATTACATATAATTGCAGAAAAGTAGTCTGAAGTAACCCAGTGGTTGTTTGGCTTTACAAATTTATTGGGTTTCATGATATTTGTTTATCAACATTAAGTTAACAATAGGTGACAATTCTTTACTCAGTTCTTTTAATTGTTAAAGTTGTTTGTTAATTATTTCTTCTCATAATTTTATTTTTTGCTTTAGGAAATGTACAGAATATTAATATTTTCAAAAATATATTTGATTGATAGGATTAAAGCAAATTTCTAAGTGAAATTATTGTTAATATTAACAATTTTCTCTTTTCATCCTCTGGGTACTAAGAGGATCTTTTTTTCAGGTCCATCATGGTTTTGGTCAGTTCCACAAATGGGACAGATAAGTGATGAGGTATGGGACATGACATATCCAGAGTAGCAATCTTTGAAAAATTCCTGGAGTTTTTCAATACACCCAGATTTAATTTCAGGTCCCCAGAGAGGTAGTTTGATGCCTTAATCACCTCTGCCATTTGGCTATTTTGACAATTTTACTTCCATGAAAGAGGGAAAATATGGTGATTGGCCAAAAAATTACCCTCCCCAAGATTTGTACATTTTTAGACTTGACATTTCAAGGTCAAGTCTAAATATATATATATAATGTATGTGTGGATAATATGTATATATTTCTGTATTAGTGTTGCCACCTTTTCAAAATTGCTAACCCGGATGGCCAGGTGAGGTTTGTTTGAACAGAAGTTCCTGACACATGCGCAATGTCATTTTGCAATGTGAAGAATAATGTGCAGTGCATGCCAGTTCTAAACCAGTTACAGTTAGGGACTAGGGAGACTTCGGTAGGAATAATGTAACTAACTAAATTAAGAAAAAACAAATACAGATGACTTAGAGCTCTATTGGATATTGGAGACGTGTACGAATACGAATCGTACAAGCAAGCAAAAAGGAAAAAAAAGAAAGAAAAGGTTGAGAGGTTGTGTGCAATATTCCCGGACAGAATTAATAGTTTGCCCGGACAGTGAGTCGATTCCCAGACTGTCCGGGTGAAAACAGGATGGGTGGTAACACCATTCTGTATGTGTGTGGGAGGGCATGATTTTTTTCACCCACTTTTAAGCTTAACTCCTGTGCCTTTTGTTGAAAATGTCTGAAATTTTGCAGGGAGTAAGTGTATTAAGAGGAAATATTTATAGCCAATTTTCAGGAAAATTGTACCATTGGTTTGGAAGATAATAAGGGTGGGTGGGGGTCGTTTCTCAAAAAGCTCCCAACTTATGAAATTTTTTTTTACTCATATAAAGTTTCTTTATCAAAAAATAAGTGTATTTGTTTCAAAAATCACCTCTACTTTCAATATTCATGTTTCTTGATGACATTTTTTATAACTTTTGATAAATTAAACTAATTGACTTCAACTTTTTCAATATTTATATATTAGTAAAATACTTTTAACAAATTGATATTTCTCAATTTGTTCCCTAATTGTAAGTTTAGATAAAAATATAAAAAACTATTTTTTTAATGAAATTCTTGGAGATAAAATATTTTTTGTGTTATTAATCACAGTTTTTGTGTTATTAGACTGAAATAAAAATGTGAAAGAGCTGGAGGGCTTATATTTTTAATAAAGTTAAATGACTCCCATTTTACAAGTAATCACTTGTATTAGTAATTTTATGTAAATCTGACGACCTAAAAGTAATAATAACAATTATGAGGAATAAAACAAAAAAAAAAAATTCTGGAAAGTTTAGCAGTCACAATGCCAGCTTTTTTTGTTAGTGAATTCTTATGTTTTATTTGTTTGATTATACATTTAATTTTATAATAAATCTCATATGTAGAATGTTTATTTCTTATTAAACATTTTTTTCACATATTATTTTAAGGAGTTTTGACATAATATTCTGTAATTTTGCAGAAGGAGAAATTATTTGAAAAGAAGTTAAGAAAGAAGGGTTTTTCAATCAAGAAAATGGGAGAAGATGGTGCTTGTCTCTTCAGAGCAGTTGGTGAGTATTATCTGATCTCAGTTTTTATTTTGTCAGTACACTAGCAAACTATCAGGAAATTGTTTCATTTGTGTTTTTTGAAATCTGTTTACTAAAACAGTTTGCAACTTCACATTTTTAACTTAATGCTAATTCATTTATATTTATTTCTGTTAATATGGATGTTAGTTATAAATACAAATAACTTTTTTTTCTTGATATGGAAATCTGATGATTTGGTTTTTATTCTAATTAATCATATCTTTGTCAGGATGTATTATTAGAAATATTGTTGGTTGACACGATAATTAAGCCATTGCACACAATGTTTTGCTCTCTTGGAAGGAGCAATGTATGATATGGAATGGTTAATGAATTCTAACAAACTTGTTAATATCCGATAGCTGAAGCAATGCAACAAAATACAGTAATACCTCGACTTACTCTACCCTGACTTACACGAACCCAAAGTTATGTGATTTTCAAATCTCATCGATTCGTCTTTTGTTTGAGCGCCACACAACTCTTGATTACTCACTCCCCCCACACTATTGTTCAGCTTACATGTTCGGATGTGTCATGTGGAATCGACACATAGTTACAATTTATTTTGTGTTATTTATTTCTGTGTTTGTTATATCTACGGAGACTCAAGAGACACTATATGGTGATTTCTTGTAACCGTGAACGAATCAAAAGACAAGATAAGATTAACTAGAACATTTATTAGCTTACATACATCTGACTTGGATTTTACACAAATTGCGAAATTATACCCTGACGTACACAAATTCAACTTACATGGTTATTGCTCGGTCCCACCTATTGCGTAAGTTTGGGGTATTACTGTATGTACAGATGTTTTAGTTATCAAAGGTGGTATGGCAAATGAAAAGAGAAACAGTTGGTATTAAAATAAAAAGTATTAATTTTAAAAGTAAGATAACAGTTGATGTTAATGCTATTTTTGTTTAGATGTTGATTGATTGTTGTCTTCAGACTACACTATACTGAAGAATAAAGCAAAAAAATTTTCAGCTTTACAGCATGTATTTTGAATATCACAGCTATATGAATGTCATTGATTGATTTTTAGGATAACTAGAACTCTGATTATGTTTCATTACTGAATGTAATTTATGATAACATATACAGCAGTAATCTTCTCCAATTTTTCAACTGTTGACTGCCTAAAAGATTAATCCAATTTATGATAATTAGTTTGAGCATTTTGTTATTGTTTTGTATTTTGTTATATCATTAATTGGCATGTCATAGTTTTAGACAAAGACAACAGAGAGATATGATTAAAGTAAAAAATTTTGGATGATTGGATGGGAAAAGTACATTAATTAATTACGAACTAATCTGTTGTCAGAAGAAACTTTTTTCACTTTCGGTTTCTTATGTAGACAACTAACTAAAATGTAATCAAGACTTTAGCTATTATAATAGACTCCGCTACTATATATATATATACATATTTTACTAAATCAAGCAAAAAAAAAGATGTTATTGGTTGATTGTCCTAGTTATAAAAATTAAAGATCCTAAAAATTCTATAATATTATAAAAGAAGTGGATACCTTTGATTTGAAACTTCCTTTAAAATTGATGGAATTTCTACTTCAGCTAGAACTTCGTTAGGGATAAGAATAGAATAACTGTAAAAACTGATGCACATATACTGGATAAATCATTTTAAATCAGTAATCATAAACTGACCTTTGTTAATGTAAGGGATCAAATAATTAGTATCAACCAATTCTCATTATTTTTTTACATACAACCAACAAAAATCATAACAAAATTCAAGAATTTGTTTGACTAGTTGTTAGTAGATGTCAGTTTAACTTAATTCTGTTGCATATGTTCATTGGACTAAGGAATGCTATCAACTATAGAACATATAAGTAAAGAACAATGATTATGAATTACTAATATAAAAGCAGTCATTGCTGTGTGTGGGAATCTTTATAATTTTGTATTTCCACACACTGGTTAGAGGCTTGAGTAAGCAGGTTTTATTTATTTATTATACACACCCTGGTGTGCATGAAGAAGTTATATTCTTTATAATTCCTGCAATTTTTGTGTAATTAAGATGAAATTTTTGTTATATTTGTTTTATGATCTGACAGAATGTATAGGCTACTTATTTTGTGGAAATATTAGCTATAGAATAAACATTTTATCGATTTCGGATTGGTGATTGCACTTACCTTGCTGTGATGTCAGTGACCTCATTTAGTTTATGCTTGATGAGGGAATTTCCCTTAATTTGCACTTTTTTAAACTTGTATGTGTATTTTAAACTTACTTCGTTAAATATAAAATTTAAACTTTAAAAAAGATAGCCACATCTTGTCACTTCTATAACAAAATTTTTAAAAAATCTTTCCATAGTGACCACATGATGCTCTATTATTCAATCAGAAGTAACAATCTAACAAGCCTATTATTTAGAAAGTGTTATCACTCATCTAACATACAATCATACATACAATTTATCTTTGTTTTATCAAAATGGAATTAAGAAATGGCTTTGTCAAGGGCTACAGAAACAGCATCACAATGTCAATCATCAAAACAATATTAAGGTGTCTATTACTGAAGAAAGACGGCAAGGAAATCTTTTAAAAGACAATAGTGTGTTTATTGAGAATGTAGTGTATAAAGAAATATTTTAATATAAAGGCCATCATGTGTTTATGTGTTTGTAAATGAATTCTCTGTAACTCCTACTATTTTTGTCCACTCCAGGTGAAATTTTGTTGTTCTTTATGTTACAACAAATAGTATAAACTACTTAATTTGTATAAATATTAACATTTCTTCTTGAATTTCTTGAAATCTCTACTCTTCTCAATTCTTCAATTTCTACTTTTTTATAAAATATTCAGTCATGCTTCAACCAAAGCCAAATATTATCAGGCTAGAAACAGCTATAATNAGTTGGTTAGGGCACCATCTATTGATAAATTTAATAATTAGAAATTAATTAAATCATTTAAATAATAATTTAGAATTACTGAAAGAAAAGAATCAGCCTGAAGAGGGACTCGAACCCGCAACTCCTGCTTACTGTGCAGATGTGTTGCCAATTATGCTAACCGGACCTTTGGTTTGATCTCCTCTTCCAGCATACATAAGCTAACGATATAATCATCGATGGTTATTACGAAGCCAGCTGGGAATGCATTCAGTGCCCACAACGTGCAACTCCCAAGGCACTCAACCTAACACCTAACTCTAATGCCAAATTGTCTGTTAAATTATTAGTATTATAGCCATTTCTAGCCCCATAATATTCGGCTTTGGTTGATGTATTGCTTTAAACGTATCTGGTGTAATAAGGATGCTTGATGGGGAATTTCTAGTTTTAATATAATACAGTAGAGCATCGATTATCCAAAACAATTTGTGACTGGGGTTGTTTGGATAATCGATTTTTCGGATAAACGATTAAGTCAATTAATTAATATATATTAACCTATCCCATGTTAAAATTTGTTCAAATCCTGGCACATCCTTAAGCATCCTCTCATGGTCATATCAGTGCTGCCAGTTAAAACACGCACATCCACAAAAATAATATTGGAGTAGCCCAAGACATAGATTGCACCGCCACAGCACTAGCGGAAATTTAAATTTGCCAACTGGAACACTTTCGGTTGATAGATATTTGGATAATTGATGCTCTACTGTATTCAGTCAGAAAAAAGTCTTTGTTTTTTAGTGTTTAAATTGTAAATTGCAACTAAAAATAATCTATTTTATAAAATACTTCATCTTTTATATTTACAGCTGACCAAGTTTATGGAGATCAAGAAATGCACACTGCTGTGAGAAAACTATGCATGGATTATATGGTATGTAAAGTTTTTTATAAAGTGTGAGTAAAGTGTGTGTCCAAAAATTATTCTTACAACATCTAATGTAATTGCCAATTAACAAGTATAAAAATTCCTGTGTTGGAATTTTCATAAGCAAATTTTATAAGTTTATCTGTATTTTACAGAGAAACTTATGATTATTTGTATTTTTTATAAAGTTTGTTTTTGTTTTGTTTGGATTGGCTATGGAGGTGCAATTCATTAAGTTGGCTACATCATATCCTGTGATTTCTTTCTTTAGTGATTAATCAAAGATCTTATGATAATTTGCAGGTCACAGACATGAATTTAAAAGTAAGAATTACAGTTGCTATTGAAGAAGTTGATTGGAAATGCTTCAATGTAAATGTCAGCGTTTGGAGTATAGACTGGATGTCTTGAGATTCACTAATCGCACATGTATTGAATGTTTGTAACATTGTTACTTTAATTAATAAAAGAAATTTTGGAATATATAAATTTTAAAAATTCTTGTTTAACAATCTTACAAGTGTCATTAATAAATTTCATTAAAGGATAAAGTTGTAAAGACAATTTTTGGATACCCTGTATAATTAACAAAAATAAATATGAATGTATTTAAATTAAAATTTACTTTTACAGGCAAAAAATTCTGATTACTTTTCTCAATATGTAACTGAAGATTTTGAGAAATATATAGAAAGGAAAAGATGTGATCACATTCATGGAAATCATATTGAAATGCAAGCATTATCAGAGATGTTTAATAGACCTATTGAAGTTTACCATTACAGTATAGGTGAGTTGGCATTTATTTTAATATCTTCTAAAAGTGATTTTTGCCAATATCAAACTAAGTTATAATTTAGTTAAATAAGTTATGAAACAAACAAAAATATGATAAATATTTTTGTTTGTTTCATAACCTATTTAACTAAATGCAATATGTAAATCAATAACAAAATACAAATTTATATTAAAAACTAGCAGACCCCGCCACACGTTATGGCTCAAAATGTATTTATTATAAATGTATAACACTTCCCCGTGGGGGGAATTTTTCAAAAAATCTCTTTTTTAGTGTACATTCTGTTGACGTACCCTATTAAAACGCAAAAACCACATCTAAAATAGTATAATAGAAGCGAAGTTCTTCACGGTAAGCCTTAATCCTATCCATCTCCCCCCAGTGGGTGGAATTTCGACATGTATATTATATAAAAACGTGCGTATTCGAATGCAGTGTAGTGTCAAAATTTCAAAGGAATCGGTAGGAACAAACAAACATTACATTTTTACTTATATAGATAGATAAAAGATGATCTGCTTTAGTTCATTTTCACAGAAAAGCGTAATGCCTCACAGAAAAGCACTTAGGGTGTTGTACTCGTAGCGCCATCTGTTGGACATAAAAGCCTTAACCTAGATTATATATTTTAATTTATATGAATGTTTAATGGAATAATATACAGCCTATGTCCACTCTGAAGTTCCATTCTAAATATTGGTGAAAGAATTTTTGAAATCAGATGAGTACATACAAACTTACAAACATTACCTCTTTATAATAATAGTATAGATGGTATAGATTTAATCTTGGTATTATGATTTGATGATCTATAATATCCATTGATATATCTATGATTAAAAGATAATCCAGTTAAATCTTAAATTTACTTTAAAAAGCAGATTAAATTATTAGAAACATCATATATTTGCTTATCCAAATTTGCAATGATTACATTGATTTTTTATATAAGGGCATATTTCACTATAAGGTACTTTGTTAATATAGCACATTTCAAGTACAATCAAGCCTCGATATAGTGCCATCTTCATAGAATACCAATGAAAATTAACAAGCATATTCTTGTTAAAATTAAAATAGAAAGCTCTTCAGTCTCTGTGAGTTACTAAATGTACAACTTTAAATTGCAAATAGTATTGTAATCAGATCATATGACTTCAAACTTTTGAAAGCATGGACTATTGCTTTATATAATTCTTATTGTTTAAGGTCCTTCAGCTTATTCACTTCAGTGCCAATTTGGAGATGATGAAATTGTGGTGCTATATTGAGGTTTGACTGCTTATTCATATTTATTTACTGGCAAGTGGAAGAAAGGCTATGTTTCACCTTAAGGGGATATTTGCTTTTTTTTTTTTTTTTTTTTTCTCTCTCTCTTTGCACCCTGTGGGCACTAAGAGGTCAGGCCCACAATGGGTTGGCTGGATGATGAGGGATGGGACCTGACATATTCATACAGACCCCCAAAAATTCCTGGGAATTTATCAACCTTGGTAGGCCGCTCATCCAGCCTTGTGAGATATTTGCTTTTTGGCAGTGATCTGTAAACTAACTTACCATATTATTAAGTATACTTCTAAGCAACACATAAGCACACTTAAAATTGTGCTTTAATGGTCTGTACATAAAATAATGTTTCTTAACTGATGCAGCAATTCATAATCATATACAGTAAGAATCTTGTTTTAATGGATCATTGAACAATGGATTTATCAGAATAATAATGGATTTTTTCCAGGTTCTGCAAAATCAATGTAATTTTACCTCCTTTTAGCAAATTTGTAACTTGGAATAACAGACTTTTTTCTTGCCCCATCTATTGTAAACTTTACATTTTTTCAATATTTAGTTAATATTTAGGTGTTACCAAGAGTCTGCAGAGTTTGATGACACACTTGTTACATCTGGGATATGTACAATTGAATAATTTTGTGAAGAGAGTTAGCAAGCTAATATGATTAGCCACCTAGTGAACATTCTGACACTGGTCCAAATGTAATGCCAAAATGTAGCAGGTCATCAAGTCTTTCTAAGTCGTGAAGACCTTCCTGATGGGTTTCAGCATGAATAGGCTGTGCATGACATTGCTAATATTAAATGGTTGTTATATGCAATAGGCAGTAAAGTGACATCAAAACAAACCAAGATAGATATGTTTTTTAACAAATCATAAATTCAAGTGAAGTGCTAATGAGTATACGTAATTTTCGCTTCTTGTACTTACAGTTTATTGACTTTTGTCAGCTTTGTTGTACACGTGTACAGCATATTATGTGATCTTGTAACATATGTGTTTTTATAGAATAAAGAATAGCAATCTCAAGAGACTGAATAATTTCAAATAATGGATATTTTCCTGGGTATGCAGGATACCTTTTGTTGCAATATAACGGATTCTTGGAACAATGGGTGATTTTTTCAACAGTCCAAGCAATCTGCTAAAATGAGATTCTACTGTAGTCATAAAAAATTATTGTATATTTACAAAAAATTGTTAAAAACATAGAAGAAGTATAATTGAGAATATTCTTGTATGTCTACTTTAAAGTTTGAAACTTACTCAATATTTTTTTTTCTAATTGTTAAAATTATTAAATTATATAATTTTTAAAATATATTTTTAATCCAGTTAGCACTAAATTTTATTTAATAATCCAGGGAAGGTCAACTAGACACACTTTAAAAGCGATGCTTAGGGAATGAACATTAGGTAGAACTGATTACGTGATAACACAAAATACCATATTTATTCTAATTTAATAAACAGTATGACTGCAAGATGTAAAAACTTAGACAGTACCTTCTAATAGTAAATGTGCTGTCTATTGGAGGAAGAGAAGGCTTATTTTAAACTTAAAAAATTGCAGTCTATTTAACATTGTCATTTTTAATGTATCTTGAAATAAACTGTGTGTGTTCAGTGTTTTGTTGCTTGAATAATAATAATGTGAAAAAAGTTACTGTATTTGTTCCATTAATTTTATAGTTATACAAGAATTATAATCATTCTTTAATTAATAAACAATACATTTACAAACTGAAAAAAGTTATAGAAGTATACTGTTTATTAGAATAAATATATAATAATACTGTAATGTTAATGGTGATGTGATGATACTACTACTTGGTTGTAATCAATACAAATTTATTTACTGTGTAAATGGTCAATTTAATGCAATTTCCTTCTAACATATTTTCTATTATTGTTGCAAGATTATAGTGATTATTGTTGGATGTGGTTATTGCTTACTTTATTGGCATTATTAATATGTCTAATAATGAATAAAATAAATAAACATTCTGAATGAGAAACTTTGACAATCTCAGAATGGTCAAATATGTTATGTAAGCTGCACTTTGGTTATTGTTATAATAAAAATTTAACTATAACTTATAATTTTTTATGAGAGATTAATTCTCTAAGAGGTATGAAAAGCAAATGCTATCTAATAAAATGTTTGAAGTGACATATGAATTATCCTGTAAGTTTACAATTATTAGTCATCTGATGATTTAAATAAAAATTTAATATATATTTTTAAAAACTTCTTAATGAGCTGATGATATGAGTATTTTAATATATATTATTTCAATTTGTATAGAACCAATAAATATTTTCCATGGGGAATTTACTGACAATGCACCAATACGTCTTAGCTATCACAGAAATATACATTATAATTCTATTGTTGATCCTTATAAAGCCACAATTGGTGTTGGACTTGGCCTACCTTCATTGAAGCCAGGGGTAAACGAAAATAATTTTGTAAAAACTCATTTATTAATATTTATTTAAATTTCTGACAGACTTATAATTTTAAAATAATTTTTTTTTTTTTTTTATAGTTAGCAGAAAAAAATTTGATGAAGGAAGCAATAAGAACTTCAGAAGAATTTGAATTAGAGCAAGTAAGAAATTACAGTTAAAAATGAATAAATAACTTTTAAAATTTTGTTGTTTCCTACATTTAATATTTCTAGTGTACAGATAATTGGAAAGTAATTAAATTGTAGAAAATATTAGTTAGGAAATATTAAATTTCAATTTGTTAAAAAAGATTTTATTAATTAAATAATAATAGCTTTTAATAAATAATAATCTTATGTTTATGAAGATATCAATAAATATAAGATTTTGTAATTTTAAACTCTACTTTTTCTAACATTGCATATACAGTCAGTGTAAGGAACACCTAGTTTAACAAAATTTTCAGCTTACAAAATACCATTATATTAAAAAATGAAATCAGTTTTCTTTGGAAGAGAAAAGTTTCATTATAATAAAATCTATAAATGCATAAATTATTCATTTTTAGTAAATGATGAATATTATGTCAGTCTGGCAACACTAATTTTAATGTCTAGTTTAACTGACAATACTAATTTTAATCCTTAGTTATGGTTTCATTTTGATGCTATTACTTTCCAGCAGGGTAGTGAACCTATGGCACATGTGCCTGAAGTGACATGTTGAGAGATATAATCTGGCAATCTCCATTTATCACCCAATCATCCTTTTTTTCAATAAGCTTCTTTATATTTACTTTATTTAAAGCATATTCATTTCATTTATTCAAATTCTAAATCTTTGACATGCATAATCTTTTTATAGATAAGCATGATTACTATAAGGCACTTGGACTCAAAAAAGTTTGCCATCCATGAACTACAGTTATTTTTTTTTAAGTTTACCAAAAAAATTGGAGTAGTACAAAAAATGAAAGCAGTTCTCTTTGGAAGAGAATAAAAAAAATATTAGATAATATTCAAAAAGGAATTAAACAAAACAATGTGCCTGATGGCCTTTTGGAATACTGTCACAGTACAGGATTCAATAGAAAAAACTTTGATTAAACAAGCACCACAAATAAAAATTTGATTTCTTTTAGCAGAAATAACAGTTAGAAAGGAAGGATTTCAATTAATCAATACTAATATGTCATTATTTAACATAAAATCTAACCTCACAAATTTACTTCAGCAGTTGTCAAAATTATCATTCAATGAGCATTTCATTATTTGTATTTCTTGATGAAGACCTTCAGAGTATGTTGAAAAAGTTAGACAGGTGAGAATTTTGATAACTACTGGACTAATTTGTGAAGTTAATGAGATTTTATGTAAAAAGTTGTCCAGTTACAGTTTGAAGACGTGTTAATTGTTATTTTAGTTGTTCATTCATGATATTTTTGATAATATTTATTACAGTATAACGTTTTATTCTGTATTTAATATAACTTACTGTACTTTTGCAGAATGACCAGCACGCCACTTATAAATGGGGGAGACCAGCATGTCAGAAACCCTGGGGTTACTGGCATGCCAATTAAACTGTGATTAAAATATAAAATTAATTAATAATCAATAGGATGACTAACATGCCAAATTAATATATAATAACAAAAACAAAGACACTGAGTTCAGCGTTACATGCATATGTTTTTTATCGCAAGCACTTTCAACGAACTTAGTCGTCGTCCTCAGGCGAATACAGATGTTTACCAAAAAAATTTTTTTAAACAAAAATAATCGAATGCAGAATAGAATGCATAAGATAAATTGAAATTATGTTAAAGCCGTTAAGAACATGAAGTAAATATTTAAACATAATTCAAAAACCGAACGAGCAGTTAGCTCCTGAAGTGCGAGCTGGCGCATGCGCAGAGCCATGCTAACACTACATGCATACTAGAGACTACTAATACTCGCTTAAATGCTTATACAGCGTGACCCATACACTGGGCAGCTCGAGCGTAGGGGTGTTGCAAGTGTCCAAGGTGGTGGTGAGGAGAGATTCCCATATAAAAACAGTTTTTCGATCCTTGCAGCTCTTGAGCATAACCGCTTGGGACCATAGCGGGTTGTAACCCTGCTCAAGTACCTTTCTTGCAAGCTCGGTGGTGTGTCTTCCCCTCATAACATCATCTTGGTGCTCATCAAGGCAGCTGGAAAGCATTCTAGTGGTGGCCCCAATATATCTTGTGTTTACACCCGTTGCCTGATTTTCCAAAGGTACAGCGTAGATCCCCGATTTCTCAAGAGTGGAAAATTTGTCTCTATCGTTACAAATAAGCTTGCGTAGGCTTGGAAGTGGGGTTAAAGGTAGTACAAGATTACGCATCTGCAGAATCTTTAAGCAGCTCAATCTTGTACTACCTTTAACCCCACTTCCAAGCCTACGCAAGCTTATTTGTAATGATAGAGACAAATTTTCCACTCTTGAGAAATCGGGGGTCTACGCTGTACCTTTGGAAAATCAGGCAACAGGTGTAAACACAAGATATATTGGGGCCACCACTAGAATGCTTTCCAGCTGCCTTGATGAGCACCAAGATGATGTTATGAGGGGAAGACACACCACCGAGCTTGCAAGAAAGGTACTTGAGCAGGGTTACAACCCGCTATGGTCCCAAGCGGTTATGCTCAAGAGCTGCAAGGATCGAAAAACTGTTTTTATATGGGAATCCCACCTTGGACACTTGCAACACCCCTACGCTTGAGCTGCCCAGTGTATGGGTCACGCTGTATAAGCGTTTAAGCGAGTATTAGTAGTCTCTAGTATGCATGTAGTGTTAGCATGGCTCTGCGCATGCGCCAGCTCGCACTTCAGGAGCTAACTGCTCATTCGGTTTTTGAATTATGTTTAAATATTTACTTCATGTTCTTAACGGCTTTAACATAATTTCAATTTATCTTATGCGTTCTATTCTGCATTTGATTATTTTTGTTTAAAAAAATTTTTTTGGTAAACATCTGTATTCGCCTGAGGACGACGACTATAAGTTCGTTGAAAGTGCTCGCAATAAAAAACGTATGCATGTAACGCTGAACTCAGTGTCTTTGTTTTTGTTATTATAAAAATTAATTAAATCTAATAAAACTAGTTGTTAATTATATGTTAAAGAAAAATTCTTTCCAGTACATAAAATAATATTGCAATTTGACTGATGGAGAGGACTAATCAGGAAGAGAAATTTTGTTTACAAGACAATAAAATAATCAATGACTTACTTTCCCAGTTATTATAACAGAGAGAAATTATGGCTTTGGGCAAAAAAATGACCCACCCAGATTTTTACATTTTTGGACTTGAAATGTCAAGAAATGCAAAAAACTTGGGGGTAATTTCTGTGTGTGTGGGGGGGAGCACAATTTTGTTCACCCTTTTTGAAGCTTAATAACTCCTATGCTTTTTGTAAAAAATTTTCGAAATTTTGCAGGAAGGTTTGTATATTAAGGAAATTGATGCTATTAAATTTTGATGGTTAAATGATGAGTGGATGGGGAGATAATGGGGATTGTGTGTATCTCCAGTAGGGTTGGACTTAAAGATGATTTTACTCATTATTAGCATTTATAATTTTTATAAAACCCATCTCTACCCTCAAAATTAAGGTTTTTGCCATTTTGTAATAGTTAAAAATATAAAAGGTTGTTTAATAAAATATGATAACAGATGGCACAACCAAAATTTTAAATGTTACTGGGAAATTTGAGCAATTCATTGCTGATTTATTTGACATTAGTAGTAGTGTGGGCTGCACTGACAATCTACCCTGACCTTAAAAATAACATCTTTTTCTCAAATTTCACATAAAGCCAATGTTTATTGGTGCAAGTTGAGATAATTTAAATCCAGTTTCTTAAATTTAATATCTTTATTTTTGTATTTTTGAACCAAATTACAATAAAATTAACATGGAAAAACACTTTCGGAATTTGACAAGTATTTTACATCATTAGTAAGAAGACATAATTAATAAGTTAAACATATAATTGTAGTTTTTGATATAATGCTGACAGTTTCAGAATAAAACTGTCTGCATTACATCAGAAAAATAATTTTTTTAATGTGCCCTCTAAAGAAGGATGCATAACCTCACTTAAGCTAGCATGCTAGCATTCTCCTGGGATAAATTGGCATGCCAGTTTTTACCATATGGAAATATCTGATTTTATGGTCTCTCCCAGCTAGACTGACATACCAGACAATCTGCAAAAATACAGTATATTCAGAAAATGTTAAATTTTGTTTCATATAAATATTAATAGATAAATTGTGTTTTTAAAAATATTTTTTACTTCCAAACATAAGCAATTCTTTTATAATACATAAGTTTCTTTTATTCTTGCATTTTTCCAAATTTGTGTTAAAAAATAAACTATTAACATTTAACAAATATAGCTTTGTTTGCTTTGTTTGTGAAAAAAAAATATGAAAATGTTCAAGCAATGTAAATACTTTCCGCAAATACATTATTTTTAATGATAGAGAACTAATTAAAAACATAATATTAATAATTTTTTGGATACATGGATTTTTACATGCATCATTTTGATTATTTTCTCCACTGGACAATGTTCAAATTTGGAATGAATCTTCAGCTGGAATATGAATTCCAATGTCAGATCCATTTCAAAAACACCTGAAATATGTTGATTCCTAAAATAGAGTTAAGTATTTCTTTGTCTGTTTAAGCTTATGCAAAATAAATTTACTCTTATTGATTACAAAATCACTAGTTCTTATGGTTTTATTTTACTGTCATAAAATTAAAAATATTTAAACTATTATATAAGAATTTCATTTAAATGTGTTTCTTATCATTGTTCTAATTTATTTTCAATAAATTCTGAAAGATCTGAGTTTTTCACACCTTTTTTAATACTGATTGTAAAGAATAAGGGAGTGGATTTCAATGGTATCTCATTATATTTATCATTGCATTGTACAGCATCTGATATTTGTTATATTTATATATCTTGCATTGAATATATTTAGTTTAGTTATTTAAACAATTATTCAAATAAAATTCACAGTACCAAAACATCCTGCAGAACAAAATAAAACTTTAGAAAATAATCATGGATAGAAGGACTAACATTTTTTATCCTTTCTGTGGATTTTC